GGCCCGGGAGGCTCTGAATTCCCGGCAATTCCAGGGGAAAAGGGCCCAGGAGGCTCTGAATTCCTGCAGGAGCAGGAGGGGAGCCGAGGGAAGCACACAAGGAACCCGCTGGAATTCCATGGATTAACGGCCACTCCCTGCTGGAAAAGGGACCTCTGGGACCTGCAGGACCTTTGGGTGGGAAGGGACCAGAATTCCCACCCATTCCCAGCCCCTGCCACGGGCAGGGACACTTCCCACTATCCCAGGGTGATCCAACCTGGCCTTGGACACTCCCAGGGATGGGGAAGCCACAGATTCCCCTGGAATTCCATGCCAGCCCCTCCCAGGGGAGGATTCCTCCCCAATATCCCACCTGCACCTCAGTCTTCCACCCATTATTCCAACAATTCCTCCCACTTGAGAGCACGGAGCTCATTGCTAATCCCATTGAATTATTTTCACCTCTGTCATTCCATTAAAAAACCCTTGGAGCTGCTGTTCCTCAGGCTGGAATCACTTCCCACATCCCCTCACCTTCCCTATCCCTAAAAAAAAAGGCTGAGCTGGTTCAGCCCCTTGTTACTCAGTAGGTTTTCCATCCTTTCCATCACTTCCCACATCCCCTCACCTTCCCTATCCCTAAAAAAAAGGCTGAGCTGGTTCAGTCTCTCGTTACTCCGCAGGTTTTCCATCTTTTCCGTCACTTCCCGAGGTTTGCTCCGTGACTCGGCACTTTTCCCACATTCCCTCCCCCTGGCTGTGGGCAGGGAGCAGCACTGGATAACCTCCAAAAGGTCTCTTCCCACCCAAATTATTCCATAAATCCACATTTTTCCCAGAGCCAGCAGCTGACTGAGCTCTCCCACATCCAACCACCGGGAATTCCAGGGGGGGACAAAAAGGTTGGATGGACCTTGGAGCTACCTGGAAGGTGTCCCTGCCCTGCCCTCTTGGGTGGCTCCTTCCAACCCCAAACCATTCCAAGATTTCATGATTCAAAGCCATCATTCCCAGGGAATTCCTGGAGCAGCAGCTGAAGGTCTGAACCCCAAAATCCACTTTCCCTACGGAAAGGAGGAGGGGTGTTGACTCTGGAGTGGTGGAGGGGAGGGAATAACCTGGAAAAACCCGGGATAACGTGGGATAATGTGGGATAACCCCACTGCAGGGGTGCAGCACGACACAAACCCCCAGGAACAGGTAAAAATTCCTCAAAAAACACAGGACAGGGAGGAGAGGGAGAGCCCTGGGAGAGGCTTGGGAGCATCCTGGGATCCAGGACTGGATCATTTAATCATTTAATCACTCGTTTAATTGGGATCCTCTCCCCTCTTTACCTTCCCATTTCCCTGATGGGCTTCCAACAATCCCCAATTCCAGCGTTTCACATCTCAGGAATTGCACAAACACCTCTTTTGGTTTGGGTTTGGGTTTGTTTTGTTTTTCCTGATGAACTGGGTAATTCCTGGAAGGAAGGGGGAGCTCCCAGTGCCCGGAGCACATCCCAGAGCTGCTCCCTGCACTCCATCTAGTGGTTCCCAGCCTCCTGCTAATTAACAACTGCTCCTAATGAGCAGGGACGGCCCAGGGAACACGTGGATCCTTCCTGAGGGGAATGAGCCCCGGGGTTCCATCCCAACACGTGGAGTCCTGGAATGCCTGGGCTGGGAAGGGACTTAAAGCCCATCCAATCCCACCCTTTTCCATGGGCAGGGACACTTCCCACTATCCCAGGTCGCTCCAACCTGGCCTTGGACACTTCCAGGGATGGGGCAGCCACGGCTTCCCTGGGAATTCCATCCCAGGAAGAATTTCTTAACCCCTTCCCACTTCCCTGCTTCATCCAGCAAGAAGGGAAAGCTGCTGGATCCTAAGATCCAGAACCAAATTCCTTGGGAAAAGTGGCAGAGATGAAGCAGTTGGGAGAAAAATTATTTCACTCCACGTTCCGGGGAGTTAAACGAGGGAAAAGAGCTTTAAAATCTGATTTATAGAGGGAAATCAGGCACCCACAGCCACAAATCCTTCCCTGGGAGGGCGGGGAGGGGCTGGGATGGAATTCCCAGGGAAGCTGTGGCCGCCCCATCCCTGGAAGTGTCCAAGGCCTCGAGCCCCAAGGGGGAGGAAGAGCACCCTGGGCACCTCCACGGGTCAGGAATTGGGGTTCAGCGGGACTCAAATCCCCCGATTTGCCTCCCAACCCACCAGCAAACCCCTGGGGGGGGGATTATCCATCAAAAATCCACTTGGGAACAGGGAAGAAGCAGCAGGAATACGGCACTGGGGCAGCAGAGTTATCCCAAACCACCCGAGCGGCGAAAGGACGGGACACAGGAGTCGAGGTCGGGACACGGGAGTCGGGACATGAGAGTCGGGGTCGGGCAGCAAAACAACAAACCCAAAAGGGGGAAAAACCCAAATTCCAGCCTGGGAAAGAAGTTCCTGAAACTCCCCACAGCCTTCCCAAGAGATCCCCTGGAGCAGAGAGGTCCCCAAAAACCCCCTTTACACGATATTCGGGGGCATCTTTGGGCGGCGTCCAAACCTTCCCCTCCCACAAAACACAACGGGGGAAAAAAAAAAAGGGGTTAAAAAGCAACGGAAATCCTTGGGATTGTCCTGCCCATCCCACATACATACTGCTTCATGGCCACCAGCTTGGAGTCCATGCTCTCCTGCTTGCCCTTCATCACCTGGATGTCCGTCAGCAGCTTGGTGACGTTGTCCTGCCGCACCTTGACGTCCTCGCTCTTGACGTTGGACACCTGGGGGGACAAAGGGACAGGTGACACCGAGCTGGGGGGGAGGGATGATCAGGGCTCTGCAGAGGGACCTGGAGAGGTTGGATCCATGGGCTGATCCCAACGGGATGAGGGTCAACCAGGCCGAGTGCAACCACAGCGGGGTTGGATCAAGGGTTGGACTTGATGATCTTGGAGGTCACTTCCAACCCGGCTGATTCTGGGATTGATTCTGTGATTCTGTGATTCTCTGATTCTATAATTCTCTGATTCTCTGATTCTATAATTCTGTGATTCTATAGTTCTGTGATTCTATAATTCTGTGATTCTCTGATTCTATAATTCTGTGAGTCTATAATTCTGTGATTGATTCTGTGATTCTCTGATTCTATGATTCTGTGATCCTGTGATTCTCTGATTCTATAATTCTGTGATTCTGTGATTCTATGATTCTGTGATTCTGTGATTCTCTGATTCTATAATTCTGTGATTCTCTTATTCTCTGATTCTGTGATTCTCTGATTCTCTGATTCTGTGATTCTCTGATTCTCTGATTCTGTGATTCTCTGATTCTGTGATTCTCTGATTCT